AGGCCTTACTATACTTGAAAGGCTTAAATTACATTCAAACAATTATGGCTTTATTAAACAGCCATTCTTGAAAAAATTTCAATAAAGTCTATATTCGAAAGCGTTTCTATAATGTTATAATTTTAGGCTGTTCTATAATATCATGCATGCATGCCTTACTATTATATTAACTGGTTTACAGTACAGCTATACTTGAAGGCTTTATACATTAATAAATGTTAGCCTTATTGTGTGTTGATGGAGAAATACCTGAACAAAAATAAATAACAAAAAAAAAAAAACGAAAATTTCACCATCTGTAAAAATAAATGGATAAGAAAAATCGCCAGGCAAACAAAGCCATAGTTCAACCAGGTAATCAAAAAGCTTTCACAGGCCAATGAGAAGTGAACGGTTTAACAAAGCGGATCTATAGATAGGAATGCAAAAAGGATGAAAAATCAACCAAAACAAGAATTGATGAATTATTGTTTTTATTTTCTGATGTCATCGTAACATACGGAGAGTCGAAATACAACATTTGCACGACTAGCTGGCGACCGTACACACTTAAACCGTTCTTGCAAGATTAAAAACAAACATACCTTCCTTCACCAAATGGTCAAGTGGTGGCACACACACAGACACACACAAAACACACTGGACACACACACAGACACATATATATATATATATATATATATATATATATATATATATATATATATATATATATATACTTCCTCCCAGACTCTTTTTCTATCTTGTTATCTCTTATATACGTTAGGACTGTTATACTTGAACCCTTGAAATTTCAACTTTCACCTTATCCTTCGGTATTATTTTTATTTTGTGTTATATAAAGCTTTATTTTGCAGTTATAAATACTCTGTGCATGTTCTTTAAATTATTACACAAGGTCAATAAACACCGAAATTATATCGATACGATATTTGCACGACCGTACACGGCTAAACCGTCTTTACTACATTGAAAACAATCATACCTTCCTTCACCACGTGATCACGTGACGGCAACGACATTTGGGTATACACACATATACACACACGATATATGGTAGGAACGGACGTCATCGTAAGATAAACAAATAGTCCAGAACAGATAACATCCTAACTCTTATAGTTATTCAGTCATATCTGAAAGGCTTGTGATATAATCTCTATCTATAAAAGGCAGTGTGTGTGTGTGTGTGTGTGTGTGTGCGTGTGTGTGTGTGCGTGTGTAACGAATGCACGGCCGCAATTTTAGACGGATTTTCACCAAAATTTACATGCACATGCTCCAAGTTAGCGGGAAGGCCAAGACCGACATTGCATTTCCCAACTCCCATCGATAGTAGAAATAATCGATTTTTTCATGCTTCTACAGCAGTTTTCATGTAGTTTGCGGCCATTTTCTACTGGCCAGAGTGAGAGCCAGTAGCTGGCTGCCACGAATAAGCAGGAAGATTCTATTGGCCAGCGTGAGAGCCAACAGCTGACTGACACGAATGTTAACTAGCATGCGAAAAGTATCGATAGCTGCATTCGTCACAAGTGGGAAAAATTTAAATCTGCATGGCACTTTACTTCAATTGGCTCATTCACTTGCTTAAACTCAGCGTTGATTCTGATTCCGCAGAACTGGGTTGGGTGTGAAAAAGTATTTGTTGTTAACATTCTTTTTTTCATTCGGTTTTTCCAGTTACGAGTCCTTTTTAAAGGTGATAGTTTTATGTTCATTTTGCTTAGTTCTTTTTTCGTAACAGATTTAATGTTTAGTATAGAGCTTAGAAAAATTCGCAGTGTGAGATAAGCAAGAAGTAAGGCATGTAGCAACATCAGCAAAGGCAAAAATATTTTAAGTCAAGGCATTGATTTTGTAAAGGCAATTTTTTAATCAGGGCAAAAATATTTTAAGACATTATGATGCGTTTGAGTTTTGTACGATTTTTTAATTATAGTTTCTGTAAGTTTTTACACGGATGCAAACCTGGACAACGTCTAGGCATCATATTAGGCTGCTGGAAAATTTGCTTGATTTAAAACGAGAATCCTACACATAAATTATAGTTGCGTTTTTTGAAAGGCATTCAGCACGAGTCTACAAATGATCCTGAACATGATGCCTTGGACTGGTCATATTGTTAGGATGGATGACAGGCGGCTCCCGAAACAGATAATCTATAGAGATAACCAGTTTAAAAGGCTGTAAACTTTTAGTTTAAGAAAAAAAGTAGCTTTTTTGAAATTGATGTGACGACTTGGGAAAATTTGATCAAGAGTCGTGCAACTTGGAGGAAGCACCCCCAAAGGAAGAGGACAAAGATATTGTTAATGTCTAATAGCCCCGTTGTCCAATTTCAAACACCGAAGCAATGATTACGTTAGTTGCTCTTTCAACATAAGATACAATTACAAATAACAGTTTCGTGTGTTAGCGGCATAAAACACGAGGTCAACCGGAAACAGAAAAAATCTGACGCATTTGTTTTCATAAAAAACTAGACAAAAATTTTGCATAAAGGGTTTGAAAATATTATTTGATCATATAAACGTTAAATTCCTTTCAGAAAATGACTTTTTCTTTATTATTTTTCGATAATTTAAGGAATTTTCGAGGAAGTACTGTAATTTCAAACCCTTGCCATACGATAAATATCTGGTAGATTTTCTATATAGCTATATCTGATAGAGCCTGATTGGTAGTTGCGTATTTTCTATCGACGCCAGTAATTGGTATTCGAGTCTAGATAAAAGACAGGATTTAAAACTTTGATTTTCATGGCGAGCACACAAAGCCTACCTTTTCAGGATAGATGCGTCATTATTTTTTGTTCGTTCACTCCACCCAACTAAACATATTAAATGTATCGCCTCGGGATATTGCGTTTATTCTAACAAAGCGTACTTTCTATGACCTTATTTGATTTTTCGCTAATGTTCATTCCAAACTCGTTTTAAGTGAATCATTCCCGGTCTTTTTTTTTTTAATACAAACTATTCTGCGGATATTTTCTTGTACTTCCTGGCACTTTCTTTGGCCGCATAAAACGTGTAGCAATGTCCAACGCAGTTTAATATGACCGATGTTGGATGAATTCAAAAGGATCGGATGATACTTTGGTCATTCGGTAGAATCAACATGACTTTATGAATTTGTACTTAAAACAACGTTTGGGAGTTGAAACTAAGCCATCGTTTCGCACCCAACAATGAACAAGAAAAAGGTAAAATACAGAACTTATCCTATATCGTATTTTCTTCATTACAAAAATCAAATTGACCAAAAATTGTCTATTGCTGCCAATCCTTACTTTCTGTCCTTGACAGGAAGCTGCTAAATCGAGGTTTATTGTACTATTTTTTACTTAATATTTTCTTTCAGACATTTCTAAAAACATTGATTATATCGAAATTATCCAATAGATATAATCGAACGATTTTAGAATGTATTAAGTCATGCAAAAACGTTCTTAATAAAGAAAAATTTTAAAATAAACTGACGCCAAAAATTATTTTCTTAAGAAACGTCTTTTAAGCAATGTACGAGAAATACACGTGGAAATTTCACAGTTTTTCTATTTTAATTTTCTGGTAAATCTTAATTCATAAGGTAATGATTGAATAATCTCATGGCGAGTTTGACGAAAATAAAATATCCGTAGAAATTCCCCTATTGCATCATTAAATATTTGAGCTTAAGAACTTTCAATGACAATCATAAATATGAATGCTGGTCGTTATTTTAGTAAGTAACACGTTATAAATGGATTTGAAATTGGCACCTTTTTGCATTTCACTAAAACAGGCATTAAACACTTTTATCTTCCTTTCTTTCTTTTTCTCACTGAAACCAAGTAGCGTCTCTGATACATCTGATGAATATTCCATTATTTATGACATACTGACAAGACGCAAAATTATCACATCTTTTAAATTCAATTCAACGATCTAATACTCTGATGAGAAGATTTAAAAAGAAGTTCCTAAGGCAAGCAGTCTCTGTAACTAATGTACTGAACATGAAGACATAAAGCTTTAATATTAAATAAAATAAATTAAATTTTTGAATTTATCACTGTAAGATTTTGAGTTTCTCTCCGGGACACTTGATTGTTAATTATTGTCAAGTCTTCTAATAGGTCATCGAATAATTCCCTTCAATGAGAGATACCAGCTGGTACTTAACGGTTCTAAATTTAACAATCTACAGTTTATATTTCGTTACATAGTACCACCAGCAAGCAACAAGCCTTGGCCTGACCTATTATCGAGCGGCAAAAGCGGACAATGGTTGCAAATATAAAGACTCATATTTGTGATTAGTGGATTGATTTCTTTTCTGTGTGCAATAGTACGAAGTGAAAGCCATTTGGCCCAGGCGGAAGTTGAGGCCGATTCGCAAGCTCCATTGGAGTTACAGACGTTAACCTTTGCTCCATTCGTACCTCTCAGCTTTAATAACAGCAATCAAATTCAGTTGTGAATAATGGGAATATCCGCCATTTTGATTGAACAAAGAAAATGATTTACCAGCAATTTTTCTTTTTAGACTCTACGTATATATTTGCGTATGCGTATTTGTGCGTGTATGTATGTGTGCGTTTGTGAGCATGTGTGTGTGTATTTGTGTGTGTTTGTGCATTCAGAGCGTGTTTGCGCGTATCTGTGTGTATTTGTGCCTGTGCGTTTTGGTGTGCGCGTTTGTTTGTGCCTGCATTTGTGTGCGTATTTGTGTATGTACCCGTTTGTGTGTATGTTTGTGTTTGTGCCTGTTTGTGCGTGTGTTTGTGTATGTGAGTATGCGTGTCCTTTGCGTGTGTGGTTCACCTTTAGATTCTAGAGACTTCTCTCCTTTTTGCCGTCCAGATTTGATTTACCGTTTCCATCATTTGGACAAAAAATGTAAATCTTTTTGCCGCCTGCCATAGAGTAAGACAAAAAACGGCACGCATCAAATTTAGCAAATATTGTTAGTCTCATTTGGCGCCTCTCTATATAGCCTTGTGCCAGACAAAGATGAAATCAGTAAACACCTTATCTTTAAATTCTTTTACTCTATCTTTTGAGTTGTTTTTATTCCCCCATTCCTTCTCTTTCTATTTTTTTTACCATTCTCTCTTTTCATTCTTTCTTTCTCTTTCTCTATTTCTTTCTTTTCCCTTTCCTTCCATTTTTCTCCTTCTTCATTCTTTCTTGTTCTTTCTCTATTTCTTTCTTTTCTCTTTCTTTCCACCTTTCTCCCTCTTCATTCTTAATTTCTCTTTCTCTATTTCTTTCTTTTGTTCTTTCCTTCCACCTTTCCCCTTCTTCATTCTTACTTTCTCTTTTTCTATTTCTTTCTTTTCTCTTTGCTTCCACCTTTCCTCCTCTTCATTCCTTCTTCCTCTTTCTCAATTTCTTTCTTTTTTCTTTCCTTCCATCATTCTCCCACTTCATTCTTTCTTTCTCTTTCTATATTTCTTTTTTTTTTCTACATACCCTTCTCTTGATTCTCTTTTTCTTTCTCTTTTCTTTTTATTTCTTTCTTTGCACTTTTCTTTCTTTGATACCTTTCTCAATTTTCTACTTTATGTCGTTCTGTTTTCTTTTTCTTTTCTTTCTCTGTCTTTCTTTCTTTCTTTTTTTCTTTCTTTCTTTCTTTTCTCTGTTTTAATTTCCTTAGCAAGTTCGTTTCGCTCGATCAGTTACGAATGAATAATCGGGAACAGGCAATTAAAATTTCTGGGGCACGTAATGAGAAAGGAAGGCTTGGAAAAATAATACTCACAGGACAGATTGAGGTAAATAGGGGGACAGAGGAAAGCAGCAGGAAATATACTTGATGAGCTTCTGTAAATGGATGGTAGAACTGGGTTTGGGAGAAATAACAAAAACACAAAACTTATAAAGAGCTACAAGGGACAAGAAGATGTGGAGGGCCATTGTCGCCTACGCTATGAAAGGACACGGCAAATAAAAGAAGAATGATTTTGATCTTCACTGGCTCCTCCACATTTTCGGCCTTTTTCCAAATCTAAGCTACGCTTAGAAAATCTTTTTTGGGGCATTTTGACGTGGTTTAATGGTTAACAAGCATGATTCGCTACATCAATTATGATTGAGTATTGAGTTTGATCTTCACTGAGTACTCAACACTTTTAGCCTTATGCCACATTTAAGCTATGTTTGGAAAATAGCTATGTACACTTTTCCTATATTTTGTCCATTCTTTTCTATCTTCGCTCTCTTTTTTTGTTTTTCTCTCTTTTTTTACTGATATTTTTTTTAATTATCTTTCATTCTCTTTTGGGATTTGTTAAAAAAATCCTTTTTCTCATCTTCATTCTCTTCGCCTTATCTTCATGTTCTTCTTCCTTTTTCCTTCTCTTTCTTCTTACCATTTTTTATTTTTTTCTTTATCTCTTTTTTTACTTCTTCTGATATTTTTTTTTAATTATCACTCTTATTTTTCATCTATCTCCTTTGGGATTTGTTAAAAAAAATCCGTTTTTCTCAATTTTACACCCAAATTCATTTCCGCTTTCACTCTTTTTCTCTTTCTCTTTTCCCACTCTTTCTCGTTTATAACTCTTTTTCCGTTCTCATTCTTTTTCGTTTACCATTCTTCCTCGTTTCTGACACCTTCTCATTCTTTTTCGTTTACCATTCTTCCTCGTTTCTGACACCTTCTCATTCTTTCTCGTTTTTCAATCTTTCTCGTTTCCCACTCTTTCTCATTAATTTTCGTTTTCTACTCTTTCCCGTTTCCCAATATTTCACGTTCTTTCTCGTTTTCCAGTCTTTTTCGTTTCTTCATTTTTTCGTTTTATTTCCTTCTCTTTCTCCTCTTTCTTCCTCTTTTGCTTTTCTTTCTCATTTCCCTCATTCTTTTCTCCTTTTCTCACTTCTTTTTTTTCTTTTCTCCTGCTGACACCTTCTCATTTCCATTCTTTTTTCTGTTTCCTTCCCGTTTCTCGTTTCCCACCTCATTTCACCTTTCTTCCTCGTTTCTCGTTTATTTTCCTCGTTTCTGACACCTTCATTCTCCTTTTTCTTCCTCGTTTTCCCTTTTTTCGTTTACCATTCTTCCTCGTTTCTCATCTTTTTCTCCTTTCCCTTTCTTTCTCTTTTTCCACTCTTTCTTGTTTCCAAATCTTTCTTGTTTCCCACTCTTTTACATTTCTCACTCTGTATCATTTTCCCCTTTTTTTCAGTTTCCCACTCTTTCTGAGTCTTTTTCACGCTTCTCACTCTTTCTCGTTTCCCGCTCTTTCTCGTTTCCCGCTCTTTCTCGTTTCCCACTCTTTCTCGTTTCCCGCTCTTTCTCGTTTCCCGCTTTTCTCGCTCTTCCTCCTTTCCTCTCTTTCAGGTTTCTCACTCCATCTCGTTTTACATTTCATTCTCGTTTCTCACTCTTTCACGTTTCTCACTGTTTCTCGTTTCGAACTCTTTTATGTTTGTATCTCTGATCTAACACTCTTTAAAAAAAGAAAAAAAAACAAAAAATGCCTGTTTTCTTTTTTTCATTCATTTTCGTGTCCCGACTGGATAGTAAACATAAAAAATCGCTATGCCAAGGGCCTATTAAAAGTTTGTCAGTAATTGGCATAACTATTTGAATCTGTAGACCAGCTAGACTGGACGTTTAGTGGGTGGCTGTTCGTGATATGAAGATTATTCATCCCGTTTCCATAACTGCCCATTCATCAAACCAGTCGTCAAACGAGCAACAGTAACATTGAAAATAAAATAAGAAAAATAACATCGAATAACAGTGAGCAAATTATTTGAAATTACAGTGTTGTTAATGTAAATTAAAATCTGTAAGTGACATATTGTTCAGGATAAACATTAATAGCGTTCATTATATATACTTGTCACCTAAATACAAATGCCGGCACGATAAAATGATTCCCTTCAATACCAATCCGTCCGCTGATTTCGTAGGACACGTTCACTATTTTTGAAATAGTTCTTTACTGAAATTTACTACAAAAATACAGAATGCATTGTTATCAGCAAAAGTATGATCCCAAAATACAAATAACAAATTGAGGATACTAAAATCAAGCAGGTAGAGAAATTTAAATATCTGTGAAATGTTCTAACAGAGGACGGAAAGTGCGACATTGAGATCCGAAGATGTATTGGGATGGCCAAAGATGCATTTCAAAAGCTAAGCAGAGTATTAAGAGAAAGAAAAAATTTCCTTAGAAACAAAGAAAAGGGTATTGAACTGTGATATCTGTCCTCCTGTATGGCTGCGAATGCTGGACAATCTCCTCAAAGATGAAGAAGAGACTTGAAACGACAGAAATGTGGTTCTACAGAAAGATGCTGAGAATATCATGGACCGAACATGTGAGCAACGATGAGATTTTCAAGAAAATGGAAACAAAAAGGAAACTTATACTTAACATCAGGAAGAGGCAGTTGAAATTTTGGGGGCACGTAACGAGGAAGGACGGCTTGGAGAACCTGATACTCAGAGGACTGATTTGAAGGAAAGAGGGAAAAAGGAAAGCAGCAGAAAACATACTTGATGAGTTTAATTTAAATGGATGGTAGAACAGGGTTTGGGATAAAAAAAACCAAAAAGAAAAACACTAACTAAGAACTACAAGGGACAGAAAGATGTGGAGGGTCATGATCGCCTACGTCCTGAAAGGGCACGACACTTAAAAGAAGATATAATAATTACATGCAGAACGTTTATTTTATGAGTGGGAAATAATGAGAGGGTTCTCTTGTACATTATTTACAATATTCGGACTTTTGGTCTCATCTTTGTCTCATCTTTATTTATTTGAGGAAAATAGTTCGAATAATGTAAATAATGTACATAATACCTCATCTCAGAAATATAGACATATATTGAGGGCTCTGTTGATAAAGATAAGTAAGCCACCCTTTGCAACTAATAATACAGGTGAGAGTGGCTGAGTACTGTGGACGGTTAGTGAAATTTGACGTTGGGTCTATAAATGAAGAACTGATAGGAATAATTTTTCAATAGGAATTGAAATCAGCTGCTTCTGGGCAGACAGACGGTGTTTCTCCTTGGTCGAAAACTGATATGGTGTCCTGAGAAAAAAAGATCAACTCCACCACCAGACTATAATGCAGAGGATGGCTTGGCCATAAATAAATAAGTAAATAATTAAATAGTGATATTTTGTATAATAGTGCGAATCTAAATTATAAGTTTTGTTTCCAATAAATTGAAACTATTGATCACTTTATTTCCCGATACCCAATACTCACACCCAATGAGTAAAAAAACCGCCATAACAAATTAGATCAATATCTGCATTGAAAGACTTATCATCTCTACAGGATCAAGACAGCTGCAAACTCGTATGAACATCATCTTAAACCTGTAGTTGAGGGAGCAGATGTTACAATCCTCTTGGATTATTTTAACACGGATCGAACAAGGCAAGTAAATCGCCCAGACAATATTATCAAAGACAGAAAAGAAGAAAATTTGCACACTGATTGACATGAGGGTACCAAGTTACAAAAATATATCAGGGAAAGTTTTTGAATAACTAAACAAATACAATGTCCGGGATATCGAGATAGAAAAACGTGACACTTAAAAACTGAAACGGCTCCTGTTGTGGTTGAGGCTTTGCGACTGATAAAGAAAGAAAGTCAAGAAGAAATAAACAAAATCTCTGGTACACCATCTCTCCAGAAATCCCCCAAATATTTCTCACAATACAGCCCATATCCTGCGAAGAATTTCGCCCATTTATTTTTTTAAATAGCTGTCTTTGTTTTATTTAAGTTGAAACAACAAAACAATCACGCTTCGCTTGTCCTAAGTTATTTGGTTTGGTTTGGTTTGGTTTGTTTTACGGCATATGAATCTCAATGGGTTATTTAATGCCTAGAAGATTTTTATTACTGGTAATATTTATTTCAAAATGGTGAATTTTTTTCAAAAAATATATTGCTGTTAATTTTTTTCAGACATATATAGTTGGTAATTTTCTTTTTTAAAAATGTATTGTTGAAAATAATGTAATGCTAATAATTGTTATTCAAAAATTCATTGCTGGTTATAATTAAAAAAAAATGTGTTGCTGGTAATACAACATGTTTTTACTCGTTTTGAGCCAGTTTGGGGGTTAATTATTTGTCCATAGCTGGGACCCTAACAGGTGCTACTACCCTGGGTTAGGGTGGACCTGGGAACACCAGCAATTAAAAGGTGGCACCATGCTTCTCAAAACCTCCTGATCAGAGTCCTTGCTGTTGGATGTAGTTCATTGTCTTACTCGGGACACGGGGTAGATTTCAGTCTTTCCCAGAACGTGGATGTAGTTTATTGTCTTACTCAGGACACGGGGTAGATTACAGTCTTCCCCAGGACGTGGATGTAGTTCATTGTCTTACTCAAGACACGGGGTAGATTACAGTCTTCCCCAGGACGTGGATGTAGTTCATTGTCTTACTTAGGACACGGGGTAGATTACAGTCTTCCTCAGGACGTGGATGTAGTTTATCGTCATACCGAAGACGACTAGGTTATGGCTCAAATTCTGATTATAAAACAAATGTAGGTCAAAAATATTTTTTATAATAATAATGATTACTTCACAGTAACTGAAATTCTAAAAAAAACAACAAATGAAAGAAATTAAATCAAAAAACATGTTAAAAATGTCTACACAAATCATGTTACAGCATAATTATCCATCCCGCCA